ACGTTCCCCCTCTCAGGGCTGGAAATAAGCAGTGGGGGAGAGCTGCTGGCTTTGCAAAGAAGAAACAGGAATTCTAGATCCAGGCCTGACCCCAGACAGCCTGGAAGACTGCTCCTCGTCCGAGAAACTGGCAAAGACTAGTTCTGGGCTGAGGTGCTAATGGACTTGCCCCTCCAACACCCGCCCCCCCCACCCATCGACCCGAGTCTGAGAGAACCAAGACTTGCAGAAGGGAAGGAAAGAGCATCTGGCGCACCCTGGCTACTGTGATGCATCTCTCACCCCACCCGCCGGCCACCCGGGATAGCTGCCTCTCTAGGGGCCAAGAGAAAAAAACGGAACTGGGTCCTGAAGCACAGCTTGCAAACATCACCACAGACCACAGAACCCCAAGGAAGCATTGTCCCGGGCACTGAGATTAAGGGTACAACAACAGCCTGGAAGCAGTCGCAGAGATCCACCAGCCCAGGGGGAGCAGCCGGGTTCCAAAGATGAGGCCACTGGCCCAGAGAGGGCCCGGCCTGGGTGACAGGAGCCAAGGGCCACGCCTGGACCATCTGCTCTCCAGTCCAGGGGCACCTCACACTTCACCTCTGGAGGTGCTGCTCTGGGGCCGGCAGGCAGCCCTAGAAGCCTCCTGCAAGTACAGGTGTTAACCTCAAGGCCAGGGAGCAGGGTCTGCCTGAGGGAGGTTGCCTGCAGCTCTGTCCCGGAGCTCAGAGAGGGATAGGGAGGAAGGAAGGAAGCCAGGGGTAGGGGTTCCACTGGGAAGAGAGGCAAGTAGACAAGCCCCTGGACCATTTCTAACCCACCACCAGGTGGAGGAAACCCTAACCCACCCCCTCTGTCCACTTGTCTGCAAAGCCCTCCCCTGCTCAGCCTTGACCTGGGTGCCCACCATCAGCTCCCTGAGGCTCCTCATCTCAAGCTGAGCTCTCCCCTTTTGTGGGCTGCCAGAAACCCCCAGGCAGGAGCTAAGATACCAAAAGATGGCCTAGCTCATCCCCAGAGAGGATGTGGGAAAGCAGCAGGGGGGGAAGAGAGAGATTCTGGAAGGAGGCATTTGAACCGGCAGGGAACAGTACATCAGCCATTTAAGAATTTCCACCTTCCCCCTCGCCACACATCAAGCACAGTATCTGAAAGAAAGGAAGGGGAAAAAAATTGATTTTTGGCTTCTTGGCCGCTGCAGGCCACCATCCTCCCAAGAGAGCACAGGCAGGTGGGTGGGGAGGTGCACATGTAAACGGTCGGCCTCCCGCATCCCTCGGAGCTTTGGACACAAGAGGCAGCAGCAACAGTTAACAAGCAATAAATAAAAGATATCGATTAGATATGTATAAAAAAAACACTCACTTTTACCACAAAAAGCGCAATACTGTTATCACAAAAAATATATACTCCTAGTAATGAATCCTGTGACCCACGCAGGTAGTCCTGCTGCTGAAGGATGAGATGACACGTGACACGAATCAGGCGCTTCCCCCGGGGCTCCCAGGCCTCCCCCTCCCCCAAGGCAGAGGCCGGGACTTCCCAGAGGCCCAGGCGAGAGTTCTCTGAGGTCCCCAAACCTTTCTTGCTGTCTGTCAGTCCGTATCTTCTAGGACAGAAGGTAGTTGCTTTGTTTTTCTTGTTAAACGTCGGTCGGAAGTAAGAACAATTAGAAACAAGAACAAAAGCACACGAGCAAGAGAGCAAGAGGAGCCCAGAGGCCGCGTGGGGGCGGCGAGTCCTTGGCTGGGCAGAGAGCTGATTCACTCGGTAAGTTGACCCCGGACAAGCAGAGGCTGTTGGCAAGTTGGGCCGGCGGCTTCAGGCGGTGGGTGAGTGCTGGGCAGCGGGGAAGAGGGCGGGAGTCTCCAGGCCCAGGGAAGTCCTGCGGAGGGAGGCGGGTGCACACAGGAGGGCGAGGGTGGGGCTGAGGTGGCCTCGTGGCGCAAGAGGAGACGAGTGGTTCCCAGACATCTGGAAGACACAGGAAGCACAGTGCGTTCAGGGCTGGCTGCCCAGGGCTCAGGGCTCCCTGGGTGGGACATACAGTTAACATGCTCGGGTACCAACTGAAAGGTTGGGGGTTCAAGACCACCCAGAGGCTCCTTGTAGAAAAGCTTGGTGATTCATGGGTGGAGTATGGCCCAACTCCAACAGGCTGGCACCAATTCCATGGCAACTGCTTTTGGAGGGCGGGCGGCGGGGGCAGGAGCTCACTCACAAGAGCTGGCAAGAGGGCATATGCATCAGAAGTCTTAAAAACGTACAAAGCCGTGGATCTCGTCTTTGATTCTGAATATCTATACCCTTAAGAAAGAAGACGCTCATTACGGTGTCCTTACATCACCACCCGAGAGCATGGACGGGAGCACCCTGCATGCGGTAGCAGGGAGTTGGTTGAACAGAGGAAGGCATTCAAACTCCACGCTCCCTCGAGGGACCCGAGAGGACAGAGCAGAACTTCCCCTGTGCATCTCCGTGTGAGTCTGGGTACTTTAGAGAAACAAACCCACAGAGACTCATGTATAAGAGAGAGTTTTATATGAAGGTTGAGTGCACATCAAGAAAACATCCCAACCCAGTGCTGCCCAAGCCCACAAGTCCAACATTAACCCATTAACCCATACGTCCAACACCAATCCACAAAGTCCTCCTCCATCTCACAAAACACACACAATGATGCCAACTGAAGGAGGAAAGCCGAGTCAGTGAGCATGTAACCATCTCAGCGCTGGCAGGGGTCTCCACACGGCTGCTCCAGCACCCAGAGCTGCATCAGGGTAGGTCCATGCTGCTTCTCCTCAGGGATGTCTGGCAGGAAGTGAGCCTTGCCAGCTAAAGCAGGGAACTGCCTGCACCCTGGTGCAACCATCAGAAAGCAAAAGACCCGAGAACTAGAAAGGCGAGGCTCACCGAGCCATTTATCCCTCCGCCCTTCAATTAACCCCACATGTGTTTATCAGCCAGGTTGGCACAATAAACTAACTACCTCAATCCACCCCTTGCCAACCTGGCACCTGTGCATAATTCTTTAGCTTCACAGTTGCAATTAAGTAACACCTACACCTTAATCCTATAATCCTGTGAATATGTTCCCCCAGTTTGTAAGTTTGTAAGCCAACCACTTCATGCCTTTAGCTGGCAGGGGCAACAATACACTTTCACAACTCTCCCCCAGGGGTACATCAACTCTTCTGACCTGCGCCATAATTTAGTCCGAAAGGACCTTGATCACCTGTCTATTCCACAAAATGTCACACTGGTCCATTATATTGATGACATTATGCTGATTGGACCCACTAAGGAGGATGTATCAAAGAGTCTAGGTTCACTGGTACAATATCTGCATATACAAGAGGTTGGAAAATCCACCCAATGAAGATTCAGGCCCCCTCCACCTCAGTAAAATGTCTGGGAGTCCAGTGGTGTGGGGCATGTCGAGATATTCCCACTAAAGTGAAGGATAAGCTATTGCATTTGGTGCCCCCAATGACTTAAAAAGAGGCTCAACGCCTAGTGGGCCTCTTCGGATTTTGGAGGCAACATATCCCTCACTTGGGTGTTCTACTTCGACCTATTTATCAAGTGACATGAAAAAGCCTCCAATTTTGAGTGGGGCCCAGAACAAGAAAAGGCTCTTCAACAGGTTCAGGCTTCCGTGCAAGCTGCTTTGCCACTGCGACCATATGATCCAGCTGACCCGATGGTGCTAGAGGTGTCAGTTGTAGATAAAGATGCAGTGCGGAGTCTTGGGCAGACCCCTATTGGTGAATCACAGTGTAGACCATTGGGATTTTGGAGTAAAATCCTGCCATCCTCTGCAGAGTAACACAGCCTCCCAGACTGTAACTCTTTACAGAAGCAACGTAGAAAGCCTCAACTTTCTCCCTTGGTCCAACGGGTGGGTTCAAACTGATGGCCTTGCTGTTAGCAGGCCCAACATGTAACCCACTTTGCCACCAGGGCTCCAGAGAATAAAAGAGTTTGTGGCCATTGAAGATAATTCAGGGTTCTGCTTGGAGTGATGATGAGCTTTGGAAAATAGGTACTAGTGTTGGTGGTGCATAGATAAATAAATGTATGACTGCCACTCAGATGTGCAAGTTTGAAGTGGCCAAATGTATGGTGTGGGGGTGTGTGTATGTAGATGTAGTGGCGGAGCGGACTATGGGACCCCTGAAGGAGCAGTTCTACTCTGTCCTATAGGATCGCCAGGAGTCAGCATCAACTTGATGACCGTGTGTGTGTGTGTGTGTGTGTGTGTGTGTGTGTGTGTGTGTTAGGGCCCTGGTGGTGCTGTTGAATACACTTGGACTGGTAACCAGGTGGTGGTTCAAACCCACCAGCCACTCCACCGGAGAAAGCTGAGGCTGTCTGCTCAGAAACCCTGCATAGGGGTCACTATGAGTCGAAATCAACTCAATGGCAGTGGGTTTGCACCT